CTTACATGAAGTTTCTAGTGAGGGAAAAGTGAGCGCGCAAGGAGTGATGGGAAGAGCTAAATAAAGGAAGCCTCTGCGAGTTAATGCAATCAATATGGCGTCGTATATAATCGTTTGTAGCGAAGTTCGATCAACCATCGGGGGTGTTAAAACATGTTTTCGACTTTCATTTTCAGGCGTACTTGAGTATCCTAGGGTGAATTCAATATCAATATCTTCTGCCATTTGCATCGAAAAATATTGAGAAATTGCAAACGAATATCAATGGATACGAGCGATCTAATTATAAATATCCTCTTAATTGCAACATTTCTTTATAAAAATGACTCTATTGAACTTCGATACTCAGATTATGAAGATTCATTTCAATTTCTTTCACATTTCCGTCGATTGCAAGTTTAAAAAAAGTCAAACAACTAGTTTGGTTCAAAAACCATACTTCGCCGCATTATCTGGCAGAGCCTCCCCAACTTCATTTCAATCTTCCCATCACACCGCGCGCGCTCACTTTTATTCAGGAAACTTCATGTAAGTTATTTGTAAATACTTAAGGAGGCTCTGCGGAGGAGAGAGTGTCTAGACCGTGGGACGCCCACATGTTATTTTTAGTGTGAAGTTTCTTCGAAACTTCACAGTATTGTGATGACTGGGAGGAAATCAAACCTATCAGTCATTCAGTCAGTCATTCATTCATTCAGTCATACAGTAAACTTTCCGGGGGGTGTATACGATTTATGTTCGTTGTGATTTATTGTGCTTTGTCAGTACTTTGAAGGTTATCTAAGCAATTTCAGTTAACTTATTTGCATATTCTGTTATCCTTTTGCCAAGTTCACAAAAATTTCGAGGAATCGCTTTTGTTATTGTATTTTTTTGTAAATTTTAGAACATTCGCTTCTCATGTTGTGCAAAGGATCTTTACCCCGGAACACCCGATTTTTCTTTAGTAGCGCAAATGCGCATGCGCTATCAAGCCGTAGATCACGATGGCGTGACGATATGCTAGGAAGGAGTGACAGTATTGTTTCCAGACAGCCGCTCCTTGTGTTATCAACAATATAGTATTGTAATTATCAACCGTTATTAGCAATAAGTTATTGGGTTGTAACCCTAACCTCTAACCCCCACCCCCCTAACCTCTAACCCCTAACCCTAAAGTAAAGTTGCTGGGGTGAAACAGCATGAATGCAACATAATAATATAAGAAATGCACAGAGCTAGTGCTGATGCCTCACCCGCGATATATTTTACGGAAATTCCAACGCAAAAATATATAACAACAAGGTAATTACAACAGGGTATTACGAATGTAATAATCAATATTAAAATACATGTAGTTATGCAAGGCGGAGGCTTTGCAGTAAATAATTGCTCCAGGTATGAACCATGCTGAATAGTCAAATTAGCGAGCTAAAGAGTAAAGAATTCATTGACCGATGACAAATAGTGACAAAGCAAATACAGTGATCACTTTAAAGAAATTTCTAAAAATGTTTAAGACGTTTAGTGTTTACTGCTAGACGTACATCCAGGCTCTAAATAGGTAATGTACTTTCAAGAAAAATTAGGTAGAACATAGATGTTTATTTACCCTAAGGGACCATTATTTATGACTGGGGGTGGGCTGGCAAAAAAAGGGGGCGGGTCATAAGGTATTTTTGACCGAAAAAGGGGGGGCACCTAAAAATATTGGTTCAGAAGGGGGGTCCAGTTATTTATTATAGTGGAGAAGCATTTGACATGTAACGATAATTGCTGCAACAGGGAGCGAGCAAGGCAGCAAATTTAATTCATGTAACTGGCATAATTCTCAATTTTAATCAACAGATAGACCCAAAATGCAATGCACAAATACCCAAAATGCAATGTGCCAGTTAATATGAAAAATAATCGAACATCTACCTTTATAACTTTTGCCATAAACTTGCCATAAATTTTTGTCACATTTCAATTATGTACATTTTAGTAAAAAAGATAATTAACGAGTAAGCGATGTAGCAACATTATGTCCAGGGAAAGTTTGGCATATACTATATACACTAGTTTATATTAGGTATTTTATACATGGTTTATTTTAGTATTAAGGAGTTTGTCGGTTTACCGTGTCAAGTCCGAGTCAAATCCGAGCCTGAGTCAAATGTACAGAGTCACTAGCTGTTTAGCGGTCTTTGTAGTTCATTGACGTAGAACCCTAACCCTACTCCTAACCCAGGGCCGTAGCAACCCGGGGCGCTGGGGGGCTGCAGCCCCCCCCCATAATTTGCTAATAATCATTCTTTTTCAAAATCATGCAGACCTTTATCATGCAAATAATATACCTTTGAAATACTGAAATTGATTAATTTTAAGCGGCTACATTATCCCCATGACAAATTGCAAAGAATGAAGATATTTCTCATACTTTCCTGCAACTTATCCAATATATAGTTAATTAAATACGCCTCCGCCCATTTAGTGCTACTAAATTGTAAATTTCGACATACTAAAATGCTGTTTTCTTACCATCAGAATTCTGTCAAATCCTCCCCAAAGTCCAGGAAATGGAATTTCAGAGACTCTAAATTTAAAAATTTCCTCTGGCCTTTGGCCCTCGCTTTCAGCTCCCCAATCAAAATTAAACGAGCTTCCTACGGCACTGTATCCGTAACCCTACTCCTAACCCTATACTCCTAACCGATTTTACTCATCAACGGGGAAGCTCTGCTAGGCTTGTCCCGATTGTGCTCGGCAACTTTTGAGCAACTTTTTGCGTTTGGAGCAACTTTTTTCGGCTCGAGCAACTTGAAGCAACTTTTTCCTTTTTGAGCAACTTTTTACTACACTCTTAGTAGCGAAAAATGGTATGACCCCCAACTTTAGCCTCTTCGGCGCTCTGCATGCGCTTAATGGATTAACCAAAAAATCTGACAATGTCTCTAGTTAACCCATTGCACCCCAGTACTTATTTTTGTACTTGTTTAACGCCAGATGATTTTACTCGTCAACAGGAAACTCTGCAGCTTAATGGATTAAATAGGAATGCATATTAATTGTTGAAAGCACAAGTAAATGAAAGATCTGATGCCTTTTACAACAAGTTTAAAGAGCTCATTTCTATACAGTACTGTACATTTATTACATTTATTATATTTAGAATTCATGTGAAGGGGGTCATTGCATTTTTTTTGTGATGCAGGGGGTGGGGCA